GTCTTGGAAACAACCTCCAACTCACACAACTTGATTTTCATGACACCAGTACATTTGAATATATAGTTCTGAAGGCTGACTCTCTCATAATTATTCTACTCTACCATCCTCCTAAGGCTTTGTCATCTTCTGTTCTCCTGCTTGGTGACTTTAATATTCATGTTCATGCTGTTTGCTCCAACTCTAATCAAGATTCAATTTGACTCAACATGTAAATTTTTCTACTCATAAGCATAGCTATATCCTTGATCTGATTTGTACATCAGGGGCTGATATCTCTTACATTTCTTCTTCTGACACTGGTATTTCTGATCATACATTTATTGACTTTAGCTTAAGCTTGCCTGTGCATACGAAATGTCCTAAGACTATCATATTCTATCACAATCTTAAAACTGATATTATATCACTTTTTACTTCCATTGTTTCCTCTGATCTTTCTGAGGTTTCTGGTATCTGTTCTCCCTCCCTGATATTATCTAAATATCATTCTACCCTTTCTGAGATCTTGCAGGAGCATGCTCCTATTAAGACCAGAAGTTTCCATTCCACCCACACTTCTCCCTGGTACACTCTTGAGCTTCGAATCCTAAAGGCTACAGGTAGATGGTTCGAGCATCTTTACAGGAAAACCGGCCTTACTATTCATTATTTAGCTTTCCTTGAACAACTTAATACATATAAATCTGCTCTGAACTTGGCTTGATCTAGTTTTGTCTCAGCTACAATCAGCAAATCATTTAATAGGCCCAAAAGCATTATTTAACACAGTAAATAAGCTCACTATCCTCAATCTCATGATGCTTTAGCTTTGGATAATGGATAGATTTTTTTCATATGGCACCACAAAGAAACAACATCAGGGCTCCACCCTGGCTTCTCCCTCCATCAGTCTGCTCCAGACAGATCAGCCACAACTGTTGTCAATCAGCATCTCATCAAGCACTCCATTTAAACCTTGCCATCGTCACAGGTGTTTGTGTGGTCTTGTCAGTGTTCACATAAAGAGTGTACAGACTCTCCCACGTTAGGCTGGCCGCCCATTAGCCGATTTTAAGGGGGTGTGGCCCGATTCGCGGCTTGTCACAAAAAAAAAAAAAATCCTCTATTGTTTGGTGTCATTACGATTATTTATCTGCTCCCGATCGAGATGGAGCATCCCCGAACTCAAATCATAAATATCAAACATGTTTGATATTTACAACTCTTGATCAGGCTGCCTCTGACGTGATACCCGCGATAGCCAATGAGAGCGAGCAAGCGTCACCTACCAGATGTTGCGTGCTTCTATATCGGAAACTTGGCAGCCACAAACATGGCATGTAACAGAGAACATCACCCATATTCTTTTTTATACTTTGTTTTTCACTGTGAAACAGAACGCGCACCAGGAGAGCCAGCTGACAACGTTGATTGTCCTCTATTTGCTTTTCTTCTCTAGTCACGTTTGGTCTCGCGAGTGTCTGTGAGAGCACGTGTCACTGTGAAATCGTTCCTACAATCAACAAGTGCGTGGTCCCGTGGTCTGGTCGAATCATCTAGTGTGTGCTTTCAGAGGATTATAAGGCTAAAAATTGTTGATTGTCCTCTATTTGTTCAACAAGTGTGTGGTCTCGTGGTCTGGTCGAATCATCTAGTGTGTGCTTTCAGAGGATTATAAGGCTAAAAATCGGTTGAACTGTCTTCATGTCTGTGGTCTCCCATGGTTTTAAAATTGTTTAAGATTTGAAAATCGTCTAGTGTGTGGTCAGCCTTAACTGTGTACTTACTTCCCTGTGATTATCTGTATCATTGTTTCTCAAAGACTGTTACCTTTAGTTGCATTCTGTGCATTCTGGGTTTCATTGTGCTTACCTGTTCACTCATCTGCATTCCTGTCCTTACCATTATCTTTCAATAATCCCCATCTTCTGTTTCTGCCTCTGAGTTACCATGACATAGCTCAGGAGGGCAGCATATCCTCCTGAGAATTTTAGTAATAATATTCCATATCCTACCTGCCTGCCAAAGGCATATGCCAAATTAAAATATTTGAATAGTTTTAATAGTTTTTCATTTATTTTCGATAAAGGTTTACAACAGCAATCAAATCATTTTATCTAATCTAATAACAGCTGACAATGTTGATTGTCCTCTATTTGTTCAACAAGTGTGTGGTCTCGTGGTCTGGTCGAATCATCTAGTGTGTGCTTTCAGAGGATTATAAGGCTAAAAATCGGTTGAACTGTCTTCATGTCTGTGGTCTCCCATGGTTTTAAAATTGTTTAAGATTTGAAAATCGTCTAGTGTGTGGTCAGCCTTAACTGTGTACTTACTTCCCTGTGATTATCTGTATCATTGTTTCTCCATCTGAAAGTAAAAGACTGTTACCTTTAGTTGCATTCTGTGCATTCTGGGTTTCATTGTGCTTACCTGTTCACTCATCTGCATTCCTGTCCTTACCATTATCTTTCAATAATCCCCATCTTCTGTTTCTGCCTCTGAGTTACCATGACATAGCTCAGGAGGGCAGCATATCCTCCTGAGAATTTTAGTAATAATATTCCATATCCTACCTGCCTGCCAAAGGCATATGCCAAATTAAAATATTTGAATAGTTTTAATAGTTTTTCATTTATTTTCGATAAAGGTTTACAACAGCAATCAAATCATTTTATCTAATCTAATAACTATGTCACATTAGGACACAAATCAAAGGCAAAACTTCCACTCTCAATTCTTACTCCTCATATGACTCAAACTGAAAGACAAATGTGCCACCTTTGAAACAAATGTTTGCTTGAGAAGCTCTATTTGTAACTTATAATCCATTGTAGTACATGAAAATATTGCAACAATTATTTGTCATTAATATGTTTACACTAACTCTATCTCACCTGATGTGTTCACAGACATGATACACACACAAATACTGACATGCAAGAATATAAAAACAGGTCTTTTCCAGTGTCAATGTAATTGTGTACAGCTATTTCTGATATATTTTCCAACCTTAAAAGCTATTTTGAGGGAGAGGACAAGCCAGCTATTTGTATGTGAATTTGTGTATTTGCAGTGTATGTTATGTAAGGTTATTTTGTACGGAAGTTCTAAGCGGCCATGCATTATTATTTTTTTCCTTCTTGTTTTCTCGTTATAACGACTTATTTTCTCGTTATCTCGACAAAGTTTTTTTTTTACAATGATTGTTTGGTCTACTGTTGTTATAGTAACGAACTCAACTTTGACACGCATCTGATGGACAGATAAACCATGTGCTCTTACTGTAGCCTATGTCGTGGCTATTTCAGCAAATTTTGCTTCGCCTAGTAATAACGTCTACAAAAATAAAGGCTGATCAATCACGGTTGATATTTCCAGAGACAGTACGCTAAACATTTTGTTTGTGTAATAAGCATGTTTAAATGGTCAAAGCAACACCGCAAACACAGGCGGAGCACCTTCAGGATGCATAACTATTCTCAAATCTTTTAGAGCTGCTTGGATTCAACTCACTTTCAATTTTCCTTTTATTTGAAAGAAAATTATATATAATTTGTCAGTTTTAGTAGTCATTATATGCTGTGACTGATATCATGTGCGTTACAACATATTGATTCAAGCATTTAACATTTATGAATGAATTAAATGTCAGTAATGAACAATACTGCACAAATTATAGCGATCACGAGGAAGGTCCTATTCTATCCCAGACACGTACAGTAAAGTGGACATACAGCATAGCCTACAACACCCCATCAGTTATATTCAGGTCAATAGTCCCACCTGTTGGCGCAGTTTTGTAACTTAGAGAACAACTTTTTTTATGTCGAGATCACGAGAAAATTAAGTCGTTATAACGAGAAAACAACTCTCGTTATGTCGATATAACGAGAAAATAAGTCGTTATAACGAGAAAACAAGAAGCGAAAAAAATGATAATGCATGGCCGCTTAGAACTTCCATAATTTTGTGTGTATGGTTACATAATTATATAATACATAAAATGTTTCTAGGACTCCCTCAAAACTGAGATGCTACATCTTACCCATTTCAATAAATAAATAAAAATATTTACCCATTATGGAAAATAAACATGCCCATTCAGATGAGAAATTTGCATCAAAAGTTGTAATGTGTGATTTGTAATATGAATTACAAGGTTTTTTTCTTCTTCAGCAAATAATTGTTTGTGTGTTTTTGTCCATCTAAAATGAATCCCATGTATGAGTACCTATGTTTCCATCCACCTAATTGTATGCTGATTTTGGGATATCGCATTAAAAAAAAAAAAAGATGCGCATAAATTCTAAAAATGTGCATAAAAAAATTATGCGCTCATCTAAGATACATTTTTCATCTGATAAGAAAACATTCTGAAATGCCTGAGCTAAAGTCTGTTGTCAAAGAGGTGCAGTATAATAATCTCTCAGAACTGTCTCACACGACTGTGCTCCCAAACAACAGGCATCTGCCTCTGAAAGCAAGATAAAACATGACTGCGTTTATTGCGTTTCATCTGCGCACTCTGAGGCGCAAGTAAGTATTTATTAAATACAAAAACAAGACCCAAAATGGTTTCTCCTACTGCAGCAAATTACTTTTTCTTAGTGATATTTGGTGCCAGTTCAGGAAGTGATGATTTTGTTCTCTTAGTTTCGCTGGATGTAAATGTTTTATGCGATATTCCAATTTTGCACTTAAGTTACATTCACAACTTTGGATGGAAACATAGATAGTGATAGATGTGGTGGGATGGGTCTGGATGGGGCACCATTGTACAGATCCTGGAACTTCTGCTGGAGTAGAATATCATCTTATAATAGCACATTCAGAGGATCTGTAACTCTAGATCAAAAGAGGACATGCTCTGCTACTGGTGAATAAATACAGTCTGTCCGAATCTTAATGTCCAAATCATGAATAACCCCAGTGACCAGAAACAGCCCAACAATTAATTCATTAAGTAGGTCTTGAGAGGACAAGAAAGGAAAGGAGTGTAAAAGAAATAGGGGCCATACCTTGGTCGCCCATCATCAGGTGTGCCAGACCTTAAAGGAAAATAAGAGCACAGTCAGCAAAGAATACGGGCCTGAATAAACTGGGACCATGTAATCAACAATGCTTGAGGGTGTGATTAAAAAAAGAAACGCATTCATTTTCTTTTGTCTTAAATATATGTAGTCACAATTTTACAGAGATACACAAATAGAATTTTATAAAAAGCCACTCGAGATTGAGCGTTATAGTGTTTTACTCCAAGTAACCGGGTGTTCTTATGAAGGCTGTGATGCAGGACTCCCTTATCCATGGTATGACCTTGAGTGGCTGAATGCTTTTCAAAAATGTGGTTGCAAAAATATGCGAAAACCAATTGTAACAAAGTTTGTAGGTCGGGAAGAAGGAGGCGGGAACCGGCGAACATTTCAACAAACTTTAATAATAAAATAAACACAAAATAGCGCGACAGCCCCTCGCGGCTGACTGCCGCGCACAAACGAAACCAAAACACAAAATAAACTCCAGGCCTGGTCCTCTCTCGTCTTTCCCTGTCATCACTCCTCCTTTGTATCCTTCCGGAGCTCCTCCGTGAGACTCGAGACCGGTGAGTGGCGCAGGTGTCGCGCATTCGCAATTACTCCACCGGCCTCGCTCCGTTCCCACGGCTCTCGGCCCCGCCCCTCTCATCACACCAATGCTATTTTTTTGTTGTTGTAATAATCAGAATAATCACATCTAACTATGAACTGTTTATAGTTGCCAAGCAGTGTTTACCAGAAGCGACCCTGAACTTTTATATTATCCAGAGAGAACCAATTCTGGATGAACACTCATAATTCTTTTAATTCTCATAATGTCCTGTTCTCAATTTCACTTTTTGCTAAGTCTTGTATGTGTCATTACTGCAATTCTGAGCCTTGTATCATGGTTCCCCTGTGTCTTGGTTTTCTGGATTACTCTTGTTTGCCTCAGACCCTTACTCTGTCATTGTTTTGCATTGCCTGTTTGTGTATGACCTTTGCCTGCCTGTGGATTACGTTTGTGGACTACCCCTTCAATAAACTGCTGCATTTGGATTCTCTACCTACGCGATGGCATGCAGTTTCATGACAGATGTACTTACATACAAATATGTATGTATGTTTTGTACAAATACTTTCATGAGACCAGGCTGATTATTGTGGTGTAATTACAGTATGTCAGATTTTATGTTTAGTCAAAGATCTGGCTACATGAGTTATCTGATTCCTCCTTGTGCTCAAAGTGTCTCTGCCATTGAAAACAAAAATATCCTGTAGTTCACAGTGTGTTCGAGAGCGTTTGATTTACCAGCAGCTCTCTCTGTTTGATTCTCTCTTTTGATCAATTGTTTATTCTCCACAGGAGAAGGTAAGTCTCATCTCAACAGGATGTCTTATGAATCCAGAATCTGGTAATCTATGACTGCAAGGGTCAGGCCAAACTGGCAGTTCAGGAACTTGTTTATTTAAGACTTCTTCAGGATCTTTTAAAGATTGATGCTGGAATTCACATTAACACATATCCATCCATCTATTCTGCAAAGCTGTTTGTCCTCTGTAGGGTCACAGGGATGCTGGAGACTATATATGAAGCAGAAGTAGCTGTGCCAGTACCTGCCCTGTACTAAATTAATTTACACGAATTCTGCTTTCTTCAAATATAAACATATGTGGCACTGAATAATATATATATATATATACATATATATATATATATATATGTGTGTGTGTGTGTGTGTGTGTGTGTAAAGTATATATGCAAAAAAATCATCTGAAAGAGAGATGTTGAGTTAAGGTTGTACATAATGTAATTTTTGATATCTAGAATTACAACACAGAGCAGTGCATCAAAGTAATTATTTTAGCAAAGCAAAGAGATGTGTGTGTGAGAGAGACAGACTCCCAAATCCTATAATCCTTCCGTCTGATCATAGTAATGTAAAAGCTTTTAAATAACTTAATGGAGAGTTTGACTTTCAAATAAAAGCAACATTCTGCGTTTTTTTTTTTTAAGAATATATCCTAGATACACAGACAAGCAGTTCAATTCGTCAGCTCGTTAATTGATGTAGATATTGATCTAACTTACAGAATGAATTCTCAGTTCTTGAAAAGTAAAATAAAACCTCAGATATTTATAACATAAATTTTTTTTTTTTTTTTACTATGACCTTGAACCAAATAGTTTGAACAAATAGTCATGTAATATCATGTTGTGACATGACTAGGCAAATAAATAAATACATCCATTCTTATATAGAACAAACCCATCAGTACTGACTTAGTGTTACTACATTTATCTCAGGGAACTACACTGTAAAAGATATTGCAAGAAAGAAATAAAAAGATCTAGTCAATATCTGTGAATGCATGTTATAAATGCTGTCCATCATACTGGAGTTGCTGTTGAAATTAGTGCATAAATCGTATGATCATTTTTCATTCATATTTTAAATTCAGTTAGGACACTTTCATTAGTTTATTAAATGGAAGCAGTATCTTGGCCTTGGGCATTCCAAAACCAGCTTTCATCTTTTCAGCTGGAGCCATTTGTGTAACTATATCAGTCATGTACATGAATGTATGAATTTAATTAATGAATGAATTGATTATACACAGTCACTACAGGCATACCCCAAAGTGGAGGTATTGTAGCATTTTGAGTGTCACTCAGTGGAGTTCTCTTGCTTGCACTGTACACACACCACAATGGTAACACCCAAAACTCTAAGATAAAAGTAACTCTTCTAAATCTCAACTTAACGGGATATTAGCTTAAAAACTCATGAAGTAACACAATTTCAATATTTTCAAGAAGTCCCATTCAAAGTTTTCTGGAAACTTGAAATCTGCTTACACCTACCCCTATTTTGTAAAGTAGATTGCACACAATAAAATTGTGACAAAATATTCAATAATCATTTTGCATTCGCTCATTTAAATGTAAGCATTGAGGGGAATGGTTAAATCAAACTAACACTTTTGTTTACATTTGGGAGGATCTAAGACAGGGCTGCCCAAACTCGGTCCTGGAGGGCCGGTGTCCTGCAGAGTTTAGCTCCAACCCCAATTAAACACACCTGAAGCAGCTAATCAAGCTCTTATAGGCATACTAGAAACTTACCAGCAAGTGTGTTGAGGCAAGTTGGAGCTAAACTCTGCAGGACACCGGCCCTCCAGGACCGAGTTTGGACAGCCCTGATCTAAGAAGTGGATAGTAGTGGTCACAAACTTGTTTCATGCTTTCTTTTATTCTACTACCTGCCTGAGGGGGTGCCGATCAGCCACTCCCTAGGTAAGTCAGTTCTGTAATGGAGCAGACATGGGGTGCTTCCAGAGATTGGGTGCTTCTCAAACGGAAGGATGCATCCTACCGAGGCTGCGGCCTTCCTTGTTCAGTCCTTCAGAGGCTTGTAGGCTAGAGTCCTCCTCGGCATTAAACGCTAGAATGAGACAGTCTAGTAAGTGTGCGTGGCTACGTCACATATGTTCCCGCCTTCACCGCCACGGCACGAAAATACTAATAAAACTTAATTTTGGAAAATACTTTGTATTACAAATCATTATATTATTTGGCTTTCTATTAATTCAATACAATGAATCACAGTCATCTAGTCTCCCAGTGGCTTACATTATTGGCAGTTTAGCATTTAGTGAGTAATTTACACCAAAACAAAAAATAACATCTATGCTTTAATGTCCGAAAACATTATTTTTGACTTACATTTCATAATAAATTCAGATAAGCTCATTACTGAATCGGTTTTCATCAGTTTATTTTCATGAAATGGAATGGGTACAAAGGATTGTGGATGATTGAAGGTCGCAAAGGATACATCCTATGCATCCTTCAAATTCAACTGAATGAAGGACGCGAAACAAAGGCTTCCTTCCAAGGATCCTTCCGATTGAGACGGCCTTCAGCGACATTTGATGACGAGGCAGCCGAGATATACAGCCTTCGGAGGATGCAGCCTTTCATTTGAGAAACACCCATTGTCTTACTATAGGGAGATGAGAGGGTCTGTATTACTTACTATTGGAGAAAGCATAACGGTCAACTTGGATCACGTGTACCTTAATAACCAATCACATTACAGCATTGACATCATTGAATCTCAGTCAGAGTTGTGCGACACTCAATCGCCGTTTACGGATAGCATAGGAATGAATGAGAAGTGCTGTAAGCTGAATCCCACTTGTCGCAAAAAGTCTGTGACTTCTCTTATAAAACAGCATTTTTTTTGGTGTAAACTCTAGTTCAATCCAAAAGTATTGTTTAGTGTAAAACACATTGAAGATTAGCTGATAGGCTGTTGATTAATTAAATGATAAGATGTTTCCTCTAAAAATCTATTTATTCAGCGTAGTGAAGCCTCTCCTCCATTGACATCCATTCAAAAAAACCTACCTCTGGTCTCCTTTCCAACGTACTGGCAAACCGGAAGCGTTAGCATTAGCCGTTACGCTTTTTTGGCTTAAGGTTGCAGGTTTGCTTTCTAGTGGCTTTGGTGCTTCTCAATATCCCTCCTCGTTTCCTCGTTCCTCCGTCCTCCATCCTATGACCCGGAAACCGATCGAGCTCAGCCATCTTGAAGGACTTCTCTAATTCGAGGATTGAGGAGAGAGGAGGCTTCCTGAGGAGCTATGAGTGAGGATACACAGAGGTATCCTTTGCAGAAGTGTTTTTCATTGAAAAACCTGACGCACATATAAATTCTCCTCCCCCTTCACATCTGTTGTAGTCATTTTAATTTATATTTTACCTTTGCAGTTTAAATAAACCATACATATCATATATTTCAAACAGGGCATCTTGCTTTATTAATATTTATTATGAATGTCTTAAATAACAAACTTTAACAACAGAAGGGCAGATCCTTCAATTCCTCCATCCTCTCCTCTTTTCCTTGTGCCCTTCCCTCGCATCCTGAAGGGGTGGAGCTAAGACGTGAGGAAAGGATGTGAGGAAAGGAAACGAGGATGCACAAATAGAATTGAGAAGCACCCCTGGGCTGCGTTCCACTTTG